AACTCCACACGTCAATATCCCACGTCCGCTCGTCGTCCTCAAATGTACTACTACTATACTACTAGTAAGTAAATGTTTTACCATGTTGTACTGCTTTTAGCTTGTGTAAGGGCAATGTTTGGATGGGATTCGATCTAAAATCCGGATTATGGATAAAATAATTTTTGGATTACGTGACTGTGTGTTAGAATTCTCTAAAATTCTAAGGTGTTTGAATTAGATTCGGATTTTGAGATTTTTTTTTCTGTCTGGATTCCTAAAATCCCTATGATCCAAATAACGCTAAATATTCACGGCTCTGAGTCTGAGCCATACGTATATCATCACTTCGTTTGTGCCAAGAGAGAGTCGCAGCCGATGCAGTTGTTTTTCAGCTCGATCGACAGGCTCCTAGAGATTCCTGAGAAGCACAAGCCCGTCCCGTCCCCATGTCCAGGTGGCGTCCCTGGCAGTTCACTTGGCATGCACGGGCACGGCCCGGGGCCGCGGGCCGGCCGGCCACGAGCCTGCCGTCACGCCATTGCAGTCACTGTACTGTGTCTGTGTGTGATGACAGAGGACAGCAAAAGTTGCTGCCTGATGATACTTGACGACGGTAAAGTTGGACAGAGAGAGACAGAGGACCGGGGTCCATGTCCATGTCCGTGGTTTCAGAGTTTCATCAGTTGTGGCCGGCCGGTGTTGGCACTGCCAGTGGCAGTGGCAGGCGAGGCGCAGGACGAGACGGACGGCGAGTGTTCACTGTTGAGACTGCCACAGGCCGCCAAAGGGCATCTAGTGTCCAGTCGGTCAGGGTACCCGGCGGCACTCCTGTCCTGGATTTGACTTTTCATGGTTGCGAATTTCAAGTGAGGCCGCCAAAGGGCATGCAGGCCTTGTTTAGATCATCAAAATTCCAAGTTTTTTCACTCTCTTCATCACATTAATTTTTGGACACATGTATGGAGCATTAAATGTAGGTAAAAAAAATAATTAATTGCACAGTTTGGTTGTAAATCACGAGACGAATCTTTTGAGACTAGTTAGTCCATGATCGGACAAAGTTTGTCAAATACAAATGAAACGTGCTACAGTGTCCGGATTGCAAAAATTTGCAATCTAAACAAGGCCGTAGCCTCTGTTGGCTTCGCCGACAAACCAACCCAAAATACTGTTCCGAGTAATTTATTATGAGAGAAAAACATTGTTTTGACTAAAAAGAATAAGCTAAAAAGTATGAATTATAAGACAAACGAACAGGGCCCTTTGTGTCCAGTTGGTCAGGGTACCGGCGGCACTCGTTATGTCTTTTGATTTGACGTTTCATGGGAGCGAATTTTAGATTGAGGTTAAAAAAAATCCTCTCGTCGTCTCATATCTAAAGCACCGAGGGGCACCGGCCTAATTCTCACATAGGCGATAGAAAGCCACCGTGTAAGGGTGGAACGGAGGTTCGGGAGTTTTCTCGTCCTGATGAGAAGAACTTCTTCTTAGTGGAATGTTGTGGGGGCAGCCTTAACCCTTCGGGTCAGTTTTTTTTAGACTGCCACAGGCCACTGTTTCGCGATCCTCGCATGTGGGCTGCACGAGGATGTAGCAGGGGAACAAAACGTGACCAAACGTTGAGACCAAACGAAACGAGTGAGGCCCGGGCTTCGGTTTCACCGGTGCACACCGGCGGTCAGTTACAGTTACTTGAGGGGGGGCGGCGGGGCGGGGGAAGGACTGAAGAAGGGCCTGGATTAGATCAGGTGGTCAGGTTTTGCGCGGACTGCTCTTGAATTTTCCAACTGATACACGAGTGCAGCAGTGGATTTCTCTAACTCGGCTTCGGGCATGAATTCGGCAGGCAATCCTACCGGCAGATTAGTTCTGGGCCTTTTGGAGAAACAAACGAGAAACAAGTCGGCTTTTTTCAAGCATTTTTTACATCACAAACACACAAGATAAGATAGGGAAGGGTGGCCCTGCGCACAAATGTCTGAATGCTTAAACTAATGTACCTTGGACAAAAAAAAAACAAATAGTACAATATACTATTGAGCCATTTATTAGTGGGTTATTGCTTGGAGCCTGACTGATAATGGGGACACTGGACAGTGCACAACTCTCCTGGATCGATCCTTATCTCGATCCATCCAGCTGCTGCTCTTCCACGTCCATGAGAAGCACTTCGATCTTTTGGTTTGTTGAGGCATTACCCTGGCCGCCTGGCGCATGATGCATGATTGGTTCGTGCCGCAGGAACCCTTTTTCTCTTTAGCATTAACAAAACCCTTGCATTGGGGGCTCTAAGCTGATTGATGGATTGATTGCCAGAAAGCGACAACGTTAATTCAAGTAAAGAATGTGGTGATGAGGAGACAAGATTAGTAGCAGCTCTTCTTTTCAGAGCGCAGTCGTCGCGCACAGCGTGGCGGTCTGACTAAACGGAATTGTACGTATGCCGCCTTTTCCTTAATTAGACACCCAATAATTAGTGGATCAGCGTTCAAAACCTTAACAAGGTTAGACTATACACTACTCTCTCTCTCTCACTCAAATTATAAGTTATTTTAGTTTTTTTATTATATAGTTTTTATTTATTATATAAGTTATTAGATATAGTATATATCTGGGTACATATATAATCAGGCAAGGACAGTATAAAATTTAGAAGAAAGACGATATAAAATTTGTATCTACGGACTTGTCTGCAAAGTAATATAGTACGTAGAGCCTGTTTTTTCAGACGCTTTTTTTTTCTTCGAAAGATCTATTTTCAAACGTTGAATATGTATTAGATCAAGATTCCTCCATGAAGCACCGTAACTCAGGCTGTTCGGTTAACTGGTTCGTTTTGTTGCTGGTTCGTAAAGAAGTGCTGCTAGCTGGTTTGTGTGGGAGAAAAATATTGTTCCGGCTGAAAATTTACGATCGTTTACGACAAGCCACAACCAAACGAACATGCTAACTATAGGTAACGACAATCGCAAAAATAACAACAACAAAAACTATAGGTAACGACAAGGCATGACACAAGCTAAGCTAGTGCTAGTACGTGTTTTGTGAGGCCAAGCTTCAGTTTTGTAATTGACAACAAGGAGTCAATCAAATTACAAACGCCAGCTTGATGATGTATCTTATAACAAATAAAAAAATTTATCAGAATCTGTAGGAGATGGTCCACAACTACCTAATCCTTGTCTCCATGACTGCAAAAAGTTCATCCACTCCATATGTTTATTGTTCTCCTTTCTATCTCTAACCTTAGCTTGACTTCCTAAATTAGGCACATCATGGATGCAACCATAGCGGTGGCGGCGGCGGTGCGCCACCGGAACTGACGGGAGGCGATGGAGATAGGGGCAGCACTTGGTCCAAGAAGGAGAAAATGGGATTCGATTTAGGAAGGGTGGTGGTGAAGGGCGCCGCTGGAGTGTGGTTGGGAGCAAGGAAAGAAGATAAGAGAGAGAAGCACATCCACTCCGTAGTAGAACCCTTGAAGAAGTGGGTAGCAAATTTTGCTCTTTAACACTTTTGGCTAGTTTGGCTAGCTTAAGCAGTAGTACTCCATTGGATACAAGATATACGTCATTTAAAGGCAATCTATATTACTATATATCTATATTGCGGAAAGACCTTGCTTCAACTCCTAGATCTCTTTTGCTGTTTTCCATTACTTTCTCCTCCTTTTTCCAATTTTCCATTCTGACTTCTTGAAGCAACTTGTTTTTTGTTGACTCTAGTTTATTTTCAAAGTTATAGTTGGATAATTTTCAGAGATCAATATAGAAGCTCCTCTACTGAAAAACGTGAAATTTTCAAAATTACTCAGTATGATAGTATCCATCCTGGCCTGTTCGGCTGGTATTAAAACCGGCTCATAAGTTGGCTGAAGCTGATTTATTGTGAGAGAAAAATACTATAGATTTTAGCTGATAAGCCGGTTGATAAGTTTAAACGAACAGGCTTGGGTTGAGAAAAAGAAGCCGCTAGGGTCTAAATAAATTAATAAGAAAAATAATGTGACGACGAGACAAGATTAGTAGCTCAGCCTTTTCACAATGCATGGTCGATGGACGATGCCGGGCAGCCAGCGACCTTGAGCTTCCCTCTTTTTGCTTTCCTTGGTTAGGGAGCCAATTATTGTTGGGTCAGCATCCAAAAGGGTTGTACTAATCCAGATTATATAGTACTCCTTGATCTCCGACGATGCCTACAGTGAAGTATTGCATTCACGCACACATCCACTCCGCAGGGCCTGTTCGGCAGGACTAAAAAATAAGTTAAAATACTGATCCAGCGAATTGTTATAAGAGAAAAATACTGTTCTGTCTGTAAACACTGTGCACGTAAACAGTGATTTCTTGAGTGGGCTGGCCAGCCAGCCACCAGCCAGCCGTACTAGTTTGGATCCTAAACTTAGCAAGTTAGAAACACTCATCTTTCTAATTTTTGCTAGTAGCTAACACACCTATTAGCAGGTGGTCTATTTGTTATGCACCTACTAGTAGATATACAATATGCTTAGATACATAATAAAAGTTGCGTATCTAAAAATTCCAAAACAACCTATAAATTAGAACGGAGAGAATACATTTTAGTGGTTTGAATTCTAAAACGTGACATTTTGAACAGAGCGGGTGCAGTTTATACATTAACACGGAAAAAAATAGAAGAACGCGATGTATTTTAGATATTTAGATAAGGACCAATTGATGAGTGTAAGATTTACCCACAGACTGACAAGAGAGAAGCTGTCCGCGAGCTCTTTTCCTGTCCACTTGGAGAGCTCCTGGACTCACTACTAATGCTACGTGCAGTTGAGAAGGCCCGCTTGTTCAGTTGGGAAGGCAAGCTCAAGTGCCAACACCAGTAACTAACTAGGATGAAAGAGTTTGTAGAATAAGCCAGTTCTGCAAAATGGCATGGAAGATAGCATCGACACAACCTACACAAGGAGGATGTACAAGTGAGGAGGACCTCGTCAGATAGAACTGCATGCCTTCCTCTCTAAACAAGATCACAGATATCTGAAATCAGACGTCGATCACCCTCTCATCCTTCTTCGACGATTTCTTTCTCTTCCTCTCACTGGCAGGCTCCTTTCTCTTCAGCTCTTGAGAGAAGGTCCTCAGCATCCCCATAAGATGCTCATTCCTGTGAGCTGGAGTCACACACCAAAGATCGAAGTATCAAACTGAGAGTTCTATTTTGAGCAGCAAAATGAGTTCTGCACATCGATCAACTGATCAAATACTAGGAAAAGAGAGCGTACAGGTACAAATAGTTCAAACAAGCCAAAATGTAACAAGATGTACTTCTAACTTCGAAGAAGCCGAATTTTTTCCCCTTTGTTACAGAATCAGCAGAAACAAGTTACTGTCAAGTACCTGTGAGTATGACATCATCCATCCTGACGGATTTGCGACCGGCATGCTGTGCAAACAACTCTGCATCCTTTGCCAGCTGCTCTGTACATTGCACGGAAGATGTTAAATGGAATATTCATATAGTTCCCACACGCACAAATCTAAGCAGATCCAAAGTCATTTTCTCTCACTAAAAAAGAGGATACGAAGCATACAATTTACGATAGAGCTCTCTGCACTGGGTACGCCCCCTTTTTTTTTACTAGCTAAGTGCCATGCTTCAGATTATTGTTGCTTTCAACTAAATACACTTCTTTATCGACCCAATGCATCTACTTCACCATCTCTAATCACTATAGTTATGCACTCGCTAATTTGTGGCAAGACAAAAAAATTTCTCTGCAAGAACTCTAAGACAGAAGATCTATGTGCTCAACAATTGCTTTCTATCTGGATACACTGGGTCACTCCAACAGTATGATTGTGAAGTTTGCAGTTTGGAGACATAACATGGGACAATCTTCAATGAGCTTTGATGTAATTGAACTTACTGAGGCATGTAAACAGTGAACTGTCAATCTTTGGAAATCAGGTGTGTACATGTGTTATGATTAAACAGGTGTGTTTCTGTCTACATCACGAGTAGGTATCACATTTAACGTACATTGATAGACCACACAAAAGTGACATGTAAAAACAATAATAACTACAATGCAATGGATCTGGGGCATTTTGGGTCCAATTCCTGATACATCTTGGGAACCGATGTTTACCATAGACAGTGAGGCACTATTATGTTTGGAACTTCTACTACCTCTTAATGAAACACGTGCTACGGCGCGGTCGCGAAAAAACATCTTGGGAAGTCATGCAGGGAAGGTTCTTTTGTCCCTTGACAATACACACAAGGGTAGAAGCAAAGAAATAGTCCAAATTATGCAGTCATAAGTCTCAAATTATGCAGAGAAAAAAAAAGCAAAACTACATTCCAGGTTTTAAAATTCGACCAGAAGTAGGGAACAAACAATCTTTCAGTACGCAAGCTGCCAAGACAAACTTGTGAGGTCTCAATTCAGAGCATGAAAGACAAACTTTACACCATACAGGCTGTGATTACTAACTCTTTGGTTGTCATATCAAAGCCCAATGGAATATCTCAAGCTGTTCGGCTGGTCTTTTCTTCAGCGCTGCAGCGGCTTATTTTGTTTTTTCTACAGTATTTTGCTCTCTAGCTGGCAGCAGCTGCAGCTGTGAAATAGGAGTAAGGAATTGCTATCCTGTCAGGTTATCTCCACAAAAATTTACAAACTTTACAAAATCAAAGCCTGATGGAGATCAAAAGTTGCAGGCATCCATAATTAACCATTCATATTTTCTCCAGCACCAACCATATTCTACTAAACGCGTGCTAACTGCTAACCATCGAGAGAATTATGTAACTGAACCACCCTAGTCTTTCAGTACTGCATTTCCTACAGAAACTAATTTTATTGGAGCAGTCAACTTGGCAACCCAAGCAGGTCGAGACAAATTGTACTCCCAAGAGGTTCAGAATAAGATAGCACCTTGCAATGAATCAAAGAGAAATAACGTGACAAGCCGACAAGCGGTTACTGGTTACAGAAGCAAATGGAGGTGAAGGTAGGGTTCTGGGTGAAGGACCTGCGCTCTTGAACGCCAAATCAGCGATGCAGGCAACAACGGGGTCGGCGACCGTCATCCCGGCCTTCTTTCCTGCTCCAGACGCCGCATCTCAAGATGAGAACAGAAACTGTACCGGACTCTTTAACTCCCAACAAGAACGAAGGAAGGCGCGAGAGGACGATACGCTACCTTCGGCGGTGGCGATGCTGATGACGGTGAGGCGGAAACGGTCGCGGAGGATGTCGGCCTCGGCCTCGGCGGCCTCGTACCGCTCGGCCTCAGCCTCGGCCTCGGCTGCCTCGTTGCGCTCGGCCTCGCCGCCGCTGTCGCCGGCGAGCGCCGCGTCGGCGTCGTCGGCCAGCGTCTCCATATCCATGTCCAGGTCCAGGTCCAGGTCCGGGTCCGGGTCCGGGTCCATGGCCATCGGCGGAGCCTCCACGAGACCTCGAGTCCACGAGCGGTGTTTGCCGTTGTGGCGACTGGCGAGCGACGGCAAGAAGGCAGGCAGCGTATCTCATGGCATGGGCTGCTTCGTCCTCGTGTTTGGGTTGGGCCGCACAGTGGGCTACGAGAATGGCCTTAGAAAGGAAAGGCCCAGGTAACCCCGTGGCTCCTTTCCTTTCCTTTCCAGTTCCAGGAGCAGCAACAACCTTAAAAAAAGAACACTCTTAACCATTTTAATTATGTAGAAACAAAAGATCTTCAGTTAGTTTGAAAGGCTGAAAATGTACTTGATACTGAATAAACTTTTGGTTCTTTTTACATGGTTGTCAAACATACGTCAAGTGAGTCCATCAAAAGTTTTTCCGAAGTCTCAAATTGGCTGGGTGTGTGTAGTACATATATATGTAGTTGTTCGTTCCCAACCATTCCGGTTTCGATATATACCCAGAGGGAGATTCAGTCAAAACTGCTCCTAGTGGATAATCTCCTTTTTCCTTTCATGGGTAGGGAATAACTTGTTTTAAAAAAAATGCATACAGTGCCACGCATTGTAATCCAAATTAGCTGTACTTATTATCCAAAATAAAGGCAACAGAGAATCATGCAATAAATTAAAGAAGGGCACTATACTATATGTGTTATTCTTTTAGGCCTTTAACTGTAGGCCTCAGGTGTACCCATCATTATCTCTAGAACAAATCATCATCTATCTCATCTGAATAATGAAGCGAGGCAGAAACATATTTTTCTCTTTATTTTGCATTTTAATTTCTGGACATTTCCATGTGAGGCCAGTACCAATAGCTAAAAAGTCGAATTGATATATAGCTAATTTAGGGCCTGTTTGGCACAGCTCACAACAGCTTCGGTCTTTTTTTTTACCAAACACTCATTTCCAAAACAGCTTCATAGGTGAAGATGTTTTTCTCCTCCACTCACAAAGACATGAGTTGCGATGAAGCTAAAAAAATAGCTTATCACAGCTCTCTCTCCCTCATTTCTCTCCCATGAAGCTGTTGATGAAGCTGTTTGTCAAATATTTTTTCTAAAACAGCTCAGCTCATGAAAGTTGGCCATGAAGTTGTTTTAGCAAGCACATATTGCAATAGCTGATCAAACTGCTCAACAACACTCATGCATGCATGCATGTCCATCCATCAGCAAGCCATCATCCTTACGCAAGGCGTAGGAGCGGCGTCATGTCATCGTCAGAGGAGAGGAGCGAGTTTCATATGGCGCATATATATAGGAGAGCACCATGGTCCACGATCGCGCGCGTCATTGATCGATAGTGGTGGTGTGGACTATGGACATACACATACACATATATGTATGTAGTGCCCTTTTTTATTTTAAGCACAGCAAATGCAGATGTGGGTATGTAGGGCTCATCATCATCTTGTTCGTTCTTGCATTGAATTGAAAAGGGAAAGCAACTATATAAAAAGAATTATATATATATAATAATAATAATAATAATAATAATAATAATAATAATTTATTTTATGACCACCTTGATTTACAATAATATTTGTACTAATTTACGATAATGACAATACACATTTACGATACATGGGTTACTATAATTCAAGATGGTACTTACTATAATGGTATAATAAATCATTTATGAGAGATTTATCATAATTTCGTAAATTAGTATAGTAATTATCGTAACTCAAAGTAGCCACATAATAACTTATTCTGCGTCCAGCTATAGAACATGCTTTTCTCTATCCCCACCAGGCCACCACCGTGCACCATCTATCTCCCTGTTCTAACATTTGTCATGCTGGTGCGGCTCAGCGGCTTCCACATTTAGTTTGTTTCTAATTACACATGCTACTATATATGTCATTTATTTCCACGAACAGATCGAGAAAGTAGCATACAAGAACATGTACGTCTCAGCGTGTGCTTACAGTGAGTTCATGCGTGTCAGCGTGTTTTTACAGTGAGTTTAATGCAGTTATTATACGGATGCTTTGGAAAGAGGAATCAGGGTTTAGAGGTAAAAGAAAACGACACACCTCATGCCTACAGCATGCGTGCTTTGGACCGCCTCTGATGTTTATGGATGGCTACCACCTGTCCCTTGCGTGGGGTGTGGGGTACAATATACACGAGATGACGAGTGGGGTGTGATCCCTAAAGCACTTGCATAATAACTTTATTTGTCTTGATCATTGATTGTGGTCAAGCAGGAATCAAATCTTTCCGACTCCACGGCGCGCAATGGCATGCTTCCAAGTGCTACATATATTCGCACATTTTTTGTCCCACTTAGATGCATGGGAGGGTAAAGTGCACTCTCGGTGTTGTTGATGAGTAAATTATTTGCTTATCCAACATAATATATGTATAATGCCCCCAAAGATGGTGTTAAGATAACAAGATTGTAGGGTCTCTCAAACATACTAATATGAGGAGGATCTTTTTTTGCCCCAAGAGGATATGATCTTAATTAAAATACATAGTGGACACACGTATGCTGCTACATATATATGACAAAAATAAGACTGCAAATCATCCTAATATGGCATATATTCATCTTTAATTTAGTTGTTCACCTACAGTAATTAATGATTACAGCCAGTGACGGGCCTAGGTTTTTACCTCTGGGTATGCGCAGCAAAAAAATTTCTTATGCAATTCGGTAAACCATATATAATTTGGTAAAACCATATTCTAAAACCATATAAATTGTTCAAATGAAATACAAAATACTTTAAAATATAGCCATATAAGGAACTCACCGACTGGTGCTGATGAACTTGCTGGAGTTCTGGACCTCGCGCCGCGTGTCGTCCTGAGGAGCCGAGCAGATCGCCGTCGCCACCTCACCGGATCGTCGCGGGCTCGCGGCTTCTCCTTTCCCGCCGCGGCGTCGCCCTGAAGGAGCCAGGCAGGAGCAAATCGTCGTGGATTCGCGGTCAGGAAATCCCGCGGATCGCCGTCGGTCGTCGCCGTCTCCAACTCTCCCGTCTAGTCGTCTTCTCGGCTTCTCCAGTTCTCCTCGTCCTCGATCGAGAATTCGAGATTTGTCACAGCGCCGCCCAGAAGTTACTCCGTCCGCGGAGTCCGCGCCTGCTAGGTGCTAGCGAGATCGCGGAACCGAGAGTCCAGGACGGAAGCCAAAGCGTCGATCGTTTCCTTTTTTTTTTTTTACATTGAAAATTTCTACCTATCTCTATGACTGGCGGACCCCAGGGTATGCGGTGGCCCAGCCTGCATACCGTGTGGGTCCGTCCCTGATTACAGCTTCCTGTGAAGTAATTTGTCTCCCATACTTATAATCTGTGGTTCTGTACTGTACTAATATACATGTACCTGTCTAGACTTGCATTGATTGGATATTTAACCAAAATTCCTCTCAGGAGGTGATCAAGGTTACATCAGCATCTTGTACTGTTGACCATTCCTTGAGAGGACGGAGTACCAAGACATCTATCCGGTCATTGGCTCTACTCCCGTGCATATCCTATGTCCTATGGGCAAGAAAGCATCATCTATCCGTATGTAGGCGTCCATACCATAGGGGTTGTAATATAATCTCTCTTCTAGAGGCTGAAAGGGCGGTGGCCCCTTTGGCCACACAAACACAAAGGAGAGGAGCTATAGGGTCCCCATGGGGGAGGTTGACATGAAAGCTACGCTCAAAGAAATTCACAAGTGGGAGCCATGGCCTCTACTCATGCCTTCCATACGGGCATCATCCGGCCATGACTATCCTTTCACATTTTCCTGTCATTGTTTTTTTCCCCTCTTATATATGCATGTATCTTTTTTTTTTCAGTTCTCTATTTCCTTATCTTATTAGAATAACTGTATTTGGTCTATCTTCTTAGCAGCTTGATGGTTAGGACAAACAAATTAGTTCATTTTTCTTGTGTTGGTGACATGATTGGACCGCTCGTGCTTCCTTGACACCTTGACTCCACATGCTCAACGTGTTGAGCCACGGGCAGTGGATCCGTCCTCTGTGAAGCGAGATCTAACATTTGGAGAAGCCAACAAGGTGAGATTCTCCCCACCCCCTCTCGGAGTCTCGGTCTCGGTTCCTTCTTCCTATGTATGTGTTGTATGTTACGAGAAGTGAGATCCTACGGTGGAAGTTGTAATTGATCTATGGGTTTGTTATTGATGATTGATATGTGAGCTTGTAACTCTGTTGACTTTGTGAACATGTAACTCTACCAATCTAGCTATGTGCTTGTAAAACCCTACTAGTCTGAGATTTTTTTAATGGATTTTTTTTTATTTTGTCCATTATTTTTGCCCGTGTGGGATACGGGCTGGTACAGCCCATGGGCTCATCAGAGTATTAGACTGGCGTGTCGGTATGGCATGGTTAAGACCATGACATGTCGTGCTGGGGTTGCCTTCTTGGCACGACGACTGGTATGGTTTGCTAATTGTGTCTTTGTCATCGTGTCTTACAGAGTTTGTTGGAGTACTCTTGTCAAATATATTTTAGAGAGTAGCTAAATCAGTAAATTAAGCTAGTTTTTTTTTGTCTAATCTCTTGGAGATGCTCAAAACCAAGAGGGTGGATGACTAGTGAGGTAGGTTATCCAAAATTACAGAGCGAATGAGGTGGGATGAAGAGCTACTAAATTTAGAGAGTCATTTATAGAGTCTGTTGAAGACGTTTTTCTTTTAATAATAGCCAAATTTACTTTTAGGGCCTGTTCGCTTGGAGGAATTTGGATGGTTAGGAGGAATGCTGGAGGAATCTGTGAGAGGAAAACATGGTTCCGGATGAAAAAAGAAGCGGATCAAGCCGGATTTAAGGGTACGCGAATGGGGCCTTAGAAAACAATTTGACTAATCTCTTGAAGATGCTCTACCCGTGCTGCCTATTTATAACCATACATAGATATATAGTTATGTGTGCAATATATTATCAACTTTTAATTATAAGATTTAATCTTTTATTAGATGAACCGGACCAGAAGACCTAGGGGGAAACCTAGGCTAGGAAAACATAGCAACACCAAGCATGTTGTGTTTAACATAGTAGTGTGATAATGGCTTGTTGAGTTAGAAAGTAGACATTATTAATATAATATACCCACACACAAGTAAATAAAATAAGGTAAATAAAATAAATAATAAAGAAGAAACATTTGGCGGAGATACATTAGCATCCTAGCTAGTACGTACTAGGCGAGCGGATATCCGGACGAGTGCCCCTGACCCACCCGTCCCTGTTTAGAATCTCCGAGTCATCGAGTGAGACAGCGTCCTCTGCACCCTACGACGGACCGGCGAAACAACAACGGGAGTCCGGGACCAGCGCGCGGCAGCCGGTTTGATGGGACGAAACCGAAATCGAGTGAAAGCAACTCGACTCACAAAAAGGGCTCCCACCTCCCAATCGTCCGTCCACGGGTCCATGCGGATTCATCGCATCGCATCGTCGGGGAGTGGACGGACGCGACGCAACGCAACGCAACGCAACGCGACCCAACCAACCCACCATGGGTGTGCTTGTGCCCTTGTGGTTCTTGCGTGTACGGAACCCGTCCGGCGGCCTCGTTTAGTCCTCGTCGGTCTAACGAACCACGTGCCAGTTTTTAGCTTATCATCGTCTCGCTCTCTGTTTTGTTTAGGATGGACAAACGACTTGTTAGTTCTTAGCTAGAGTCCGGCCAGCGCTGGCTGGGACACAAGCCTTCGTTTTGGCTAGTGATGAAAATGGGACGAATGTTTTCTGATATCTGTCCGTTTCGAAGAAAAAAAGGTCAAACCCCTACATGGATAGCTCGTGTCCGAGTCCAAACGTTTAATATACGTATCATATCCGAATCAAATACTAAAAATCGGATTTCTGATACGTATATAGGATAGATATCAATATCTGACGCATTTAGCATGATTCGTATCCGGTTTTGAGATAGAAGAAAAAATATAGGATAGAACGCAGGATCCCTGATATCCATCTGTATCCGATCCGATTTCATCCTAATCTTTGCTCCTAGTCATCATTTAGTCAAGTAATATGGGCTTGTTTGGTTGTGGATTTGTTGTAGCTGTCTGTCCCACGGATCACTCCTAAGCAATGGATTTTCTACGCCTACTACACTGTCTCAGGGTCCTAACCAAACAGCCTCTATACGTTTGTGCTACCTATGTTTAATGTGTCGTGGATTAGCATTTGTGCTTCGTCAAACTTAAGCAGATGTGGTAAATGGCTTCATTCGCTTTAGATTTTGGAAAAAGTCCACTTTGTTTCCCAACTTTCACAAAAGTAAGCTTTTCCTCCCTCAAATCTAACCAGAAGTAGTTCCTCCCCCATCTCTCAAAACCGATCACTTCACCTCCATGGCTGTTTCCTTGGTGGTTTTTCTTTCTTTTTTCTTTTACGTTTATTTTGGCTGAATCTTTGAAAAATCTTAGTAAATCACAGAAAAATCATAAAATAGAAAATCCACTTGTATTGGACTCCACATGAGTAGATCTACACAGTGAACATATGATATGATATACTTTAGTACAAAGTTTTTCTTGTAATTTTAGATCTATGTTTTTCTATAATTAATTCGTGGTTGCAGTGTCCAATTGTAATGAAATTTTTATGGTAGGCTAATCATTGAATGCCTGAGATGTAACAAAAATTTCATCCTCATTGGATTATATTTGTTGAAATAAACATAAAAGAAAGAAAAGAAAAACCACTTAGGAAAACAGCTATGGAGGTTAAGTGATCAGTTTTGAAAGATGAGGAAAGCTTTTTCTTAGATTTTTGTTGTGGTGGTTGCGGCTGCAGCGAACCTGGTACTAGAGCCGTAAACGATTCATGTTTTTGATCCTATCTGCCATGCATATGGATGTGACTTTTTTCCATGGAGAAAACACTATAGAGCTTTAGAGTTGATCCTCGTTGGCCGTGTCTCTAATGTTATTCAAGTACTCTTTTATTCTTTTTTCTTTTTACATAGCGTATTAGGGTTGTTTTAAATTAAATATTTTTAGATATGACTATCAATTTAAATATATATATAGGTTAACAACACAATATTTATTTTTTTATATGTATCATGAGAAATACTTGTACAACATATAGTTTACATGTTTTGAAATTATATGTTTAAAAAAAATTAATGATCAAAGTTACAAATACTTGACTTAGAACGAATCTATTACGACAAGTAAAAAGAAAGAAAGAAGTAAAACATAGGAAAGACAATATAGGGTTTTCTTTCCTTCAGTTTTCGTTTACCTGTTATCAACCTTTTATTTCTTTTATATTGTTTTTATTTTATAAATATAAGTTCATATATATTTCAAAGTATATAACACTAGCGAGGTACATTGGACGAAGAAACATACGAGATGAAAAGTTAAAGTCCGTAAAAAAACGCAAATAAACAGGGCACTGACTAAAGTTTATTTAGACAAAAGAAATCAGAAGTTTATGCCCCTCGATTTCCTCACTGAGAATTGAGAAAGACATTTTATTATAGAGAAGTGGCGCTGTATATAGGTTGGCCTTAACAGCGACCTGACATATCCACACCGCGTCCCTGATTGGCTTATCCGGAGCCGAGTCGTCCACAACGCAATGACTCCGCAAGCAAGCAATTCCGGCTACGCAAGAAACGAACGCCATTTCGATTTCGATACGATACCTACATTCGGGTGGGGCTATTAGTTGGACGACATTATCGTGCGATGGGTGGAACGCGCGCTGCCCGCCGCCGTAGCCGCTCACCGCCCCGTCGTGACGCGGTGGGGTCTTGTCGGAGCTCCACGGCTGCGAGTTCCGGCGAGACCCTATTGCACCGGCGGGGCCTCCTCCTCCCTCTCCCCCTGCAGCTACCATGGCTCCGTCCCGACCTGGCTCGACCGCCTCCTCTGCCATCCGCTCTGGCGGTGTCATCATCACCTCCGCCTTGCCTCTGTTCTTCCGTTCCCACCGTCGGACCGTCCTACCTCCCCCGAGCCCCTTCTAAACTCGCTGGAGATGAAGAAGAGGGACGTCGCGGCGGCCGTGGTCGCACGCTGACGAGCGAGCACAACCGCACGCAGGATAGAGTTTGCGCTATTAGTTGCTACTACTACACTGCCAAAGTGACAACAAATAATACAGAAGGAGCGATGCATCCCAGATCTCACAATCTGGTGCCCGAGTACAATATTTTGTCCTAGGATGCCGGCAGGGCAGCCAATCTTAAAATTTCTGAACATAAATACCGACATTTCTTCCTACTTCAAGATTTTCCATGTAATAACTAAATGATGCCAAACCAATAGTTGAAATTGTCAGGGACATGACATCCAAATCTTTTTTTTTGTGTGGTACTTACCATGTATTTAGTCCAAACAGACCCTAATGCAGAAACATACGAAAGAGGCTAAAAAAAGCTCCCAAGCTTGAAATCCACACAAAATATTCGTCCCTAGGTTAAAGAGATCAGGAAAAGGCTGAGTGTCGAGATCACAACAGTGCCCACCCCCACGCACACGGTGTAGGTTAGCTAGCTAGGCCTCCAACACCTACCCTGGGCCCTGTTGCTGTTGGAGCCCCCACTTGCTAATTCTTCCTCCCTATAATAAATAAATAAACAAATCTCCAAGCCTAGTTCCTCCTCATCTCCTAATCACTCACACTCATTGCTTGCCTGTAGCTTTTCCTTAATCCACTTGTCAAACCCTTACTCCCTGCCTTTTTCTTCTCCTTCTTCTCTTCTCTACTCTAGTCTTTGGTTTGGGAATTGGGATGAGAGGAGAGGAGAGGAGAGGAACCTCCACTAACCAAACCTTAATCAAAGTCCTTAACCCTGATCAGTTCGTTGGCTCCCTCCTAATCCCCCACGCCCTTTCCGGTAGTCCCTCCCTCCCTCCCTCCGCCCTGCTGCTGCGTCTCTGTCGCCCAGCTAGCTGCACGGGTTCTTTTCGGGGGGCCAAGGCCAAGGAGCGAGACCTCGCCGTCGCCGTACGTGAGCCGGGGCGGCATGTCAAACGCCGGCGAGGCCAGAAGAGGCGTGGGAACGGGCCGGGGGTCGCGGCTGCCGCGGTGGACGCGGCAGGAGATACTGGTGCTCATCGAGGGGAAGCGGGTGGTGGAGAGGAGCGGCCGCGGCCGCGGCCGGGTCCGGGTACGGGGAGCCGAGGGCGCCAGCGCGGAGCCGACCAAGTGGGCGGCGGTGGCGGAGTACTGCCGGCGCCACGGCGTGGACCGCGGCCCCGTGCAGTGCCGCAAGCGCTGGAGCAACCTCGCCGGCGACTACAAGAAGATCTGGGAGTGGGAGCGCGGGTACGCCGCCAGGAAGGAGGCCTCGTTCTGGGCCATGCGCAACGACGCGCGCCGGGAGAGGCGGCTTCCGGGCTTCTTCGACCGCGAGGTCTACGACATCCTCGAGGGCCGTGGCACCGCCGGGAATGCGGTTGCGGCGGCGCTGGAGGACGTGGAGGAAGGCAAGGAGGAGGAGGCGAAGGCGGTGCTTCACACTGCTGGCCGCGGGGTCCAAGGGAGCGGGCTCTTCTCCTCGTCTGAGGACGAGGAGGACCAAGAAGACGACGCGGCCACGCCAAGTCCGACGCCGACGCCGACGCCGACGCCGGCGCCAGCTGCGGTGGCCGTGCCGATCCCCGCCGGTGAGCAAGCTGTTCCGTTCTTCCTTGAAATGGCGCGTGCCTCCTCTCTTTCAGTGCACGGTGAGCCCTTTTGTTCCCTTTTTACTGCTGCTTCTTGGCGTCAAATTGTCACCTTTTCTGCGTGGAAGAGTTTCAACTCGTGTCTTTTAATGCTTTCCGCGTGCAATCAACATGCTTTCCTTGAGCAATTGCGCTTCTTGGAGGTTCCCTTGCTCATAAAAAAAACTTTTTCATGGTTCTGAATTGATGAACCATTTCTTCATTCCTTTTGGGGAAACGCTTCAGTTTCTGTTCCAGCTACGACCAAGCTGAAAGCACGCACAAATTTCCGTTATTCTTCGCTTTAGTTTCCTTTTTGTCAGTTGGATGCACTTTGGTACTCCTATTTGGATTGTTACTTGCCTGACAAAGCTTTGCATTCTGCTGTTCTGGTTACAGTTACAGAGAAGACAACTGATGTGCCCAGGCATGCGAGCTCCGAGCAAGGTACTCCGCAGAGACTTTTTACTGTTCCATTGGTTTGGTGTGATCGGCCATAGCCTAGTGCAGAAACAAAGCTTAATTAGAAACAGTTGCGCCAATTCACTTCGTGCCGTTTTAAATTTTAATCCAGAGGCTCTAACAATCATGCAATGAAAATCCAGCAATTCCAAGCAGAACCAAAGTCGTTTGAGGCTGCCATTTCTCATGCGTTTAAGATTGCAAAACACAGCTTACCTAACCAAAGTCGTTTGAGGCTGCCATTTCTCATGCGTTTAAGATTGCAAAACACAGCTTACCTAGTTACCTTTTCTCTTTGTGATCAACCTTGTGCTGTTTGAAAGCTGTATGAGACTTCTGAAATTATCGAACTCTTCATGGCACAATATATAATTTACCAAGTTTGAGATTATAAAAAAGAATTGTGTAAACATCAAGTAGTGCTGACTCAGAATCAATGCTCACAAAAGCAATATGTTGACTGGGGTAGCTAATACCCAAGAACTGATGGTATCAGTTACTTACATGTGATCCCCCACTCCCATTGTATTTGTACCTGGTTGTTAAATCCCATTACCGTGTAGACACGTGGAGATTTGAGAAACATCCATATCTTCTACATACTATTTCCAAATTTTTTGAATGATTCTGAAATGATGGAGGAGCAACTTCACCAGATCTTCTTACAGGAGAGTATCTTAAAACCATTTCAGCATATAGGAGGGCATTGAAGCAGCAGATTACCTAAACTTTAGAACTCATATATTTCTTTAGGGTTAAGGGGAGAGGGCTGGTTTCAGGCAGCAGCGGAGCTTAGTGAGGGCCATAGTGGGCCGTGGCACCCCCTAAGCTAGAAAAATCCTTAATGAAAATCTTAGTTTGACCATTTTAAGTGGTGATGAAACACTAATCTGCCCCCTCTCTTTGCACTTCATATCATATTGGTCCCTCCTCTTTTCATGGCCAAGCTCCGCCACTGGTTTCAGGATCTCCATTAAAAATAATAGAAAATGAGGCAGGACATCTGCAGCAACTCCTAAAATGCTAGTTTTAAGATATAGGAGATTGGATGGATAGGAGATCTGGTGGAGATGATCTAAGGACTGTTCCTTCCTATTCAGTCTTTTCTCTTCAAATGATCATTACCTTCTAAATTGTAACACGCAGAAAAATAATCAACTAATACAATTTCCACTTGAATCAAACGGTCCAGACATAGTTATACCATCAGACATTCTCACATGCAACCCAGAACAAAATAACGGCAGTAGAATTCACATGATAAAGCTTCAGAAGTTCAGGTTTCATACCTAACAACCATCCATGTTTCCAAACAGCAGGCACATCAAAAGAAAAGCAGACGGAGCAGATCACCGAGGACTCACCAGTGCAGTGCGGGCAGAAGAGGCAGCGCAGCGACGACAATGATTCCGGAAGAGCCACGACCAGCCTGCAGGGGCAGCTGGTTGAGATCCTAGACCGGAGCAGTCAGATGGTGGCGGCGCAGCTAGAGGCGCAGAACATCAACAGCCGACTGGACAGGGAGCAGAGGAAGGACCAAGTGAGCAGCCTGCTTGGTGTGCTTGACAAGGTGGCTGATGCCCTCTACAGAATTGCTGATAAGCTGTAGCCGCCACTGTTCGACTGGTATTAAAGCTGGCTGATAAGCCGGCTGAAGTTGTTTTGTTGTGAGAGAAAAATACTGTAGATTGTAGCTGATAAACCAGCTGATAAGTTCAAGCAAACAGGCCAGCCAAATGGGATGCCCTATTTTTTAACCCATGGGATATTGTATTTGTATGCCCCTATGGCCCCAAAATTGTGTATTCTGCTGACTCTCGTTTCTACAGAGGAATGGAAGTGCATACCTGATGAATGATGATACAAAATCTAGGGTCAGTTAGGTTTCCCTCTAAATTGATTTCTGCAAGCAGAATAAACTGAAAAGGAAAAAAAAAGGTTCATATTGTCTGACACAATCGGACTGAAACACAGCTAAGACAACTTACCAGTGAAGTTTCTGGAAATTTCTAATATTGACATCCTATGTGCCTCCCGGTATAACAAATTGTAGAACAACAAAGAATATGGGGGAAAAGTACTTAAACATAGTTGGTTAGCTCAGATCACAAGATCAAAGCACAAGCACACACATATATCCTGATTTACATAAGGTATTCTGAAACTTGATGGAAACAAACATCAGACTAGGTACCCTGGGATCCTCAATTTCACTCATCATCTGTTCTACTTGATCTGTAACGCCGGGAGCTTGCCTTTGAGTTTGTATGCATCTGTGGCGTTGACGATGATTTACTGTCATCTTCATCCATCTCACATTGATCAGGTTCATCAGAGGCACCTGCTACCATTCCAATTACAGATGAGTTGGAATCAATAGCTCTGGGACCCTCATCCACTGCCATAGCATCCACTGATTTCTTGCGAGGGATGAATGTGACTGAGCTAGGAATCTCAACAGGCGTCTCAGAATGTATCCTGTTTGGGTCTGATCTCCCTAACAGATCATGCAGGTCAGCAAGAGCTGCCCTGTTCGAGTCATCATTAGACTCTGGTACATCCAGGGTGTAACAGGTGTACTTTGAAGGGTTCCTTACATAGTCAGGGACCCCAGGAGATGCAGACAAAGTAGACGTGCCCTCCTCCTCCTCAGTGACTACATCCATGGATTGAGGAACCATTGGAGAATCTTCATCATGTTCAAACATATCCGACTCACGATCCTTAACATTAGCATCGAACCGGACACGTTTCCTTGGTTTTAAATCAGCTTGCTCCTCCTTCCTCTTTAGTATAGGTTTTACATTGACTTCCTCCACAGATTTCTTTGTCTGAAATCCTACATTGGGGAACTCCTTGGCTTGAGCGGCATAGTGAGAGTCACCATCTTTAGCAGAACCATCATCTTCTCTGAGTCTTGCAGATGCTGCCCTCATATCTGCCCGAGGATCCTTCTTAAAACGGTACACCTCTTCAATGGAATCATCAAGGAGGTCAGGGACTATACTGTTGATGCTCATGTTTATGCCATCATCCATTATATCGTGCATGTACATGCGGTCAGCAGACTCCTCTCTACCAAAGGCCTCTCTATCATACTTGTCCTCCTCTTCCTGTAAAAACAACTCTTCTAAGATAACAATCCACTAGAAGCAAACCAACGGCGATAGATATGATAACTCATAGTGACCGACCACGAAGAAACATTCAAGAGAAGTCCAGATAAGTTACTTAAGGTGTTTCGAGGTCAAGAATATATCACACTGAAATTACGATGTCTAGTTAGTCAATTACTACTCTTTATCATTAACTAAAACTCATCAATAACCAAAAGGAAATGGGACATGCTCCCTTTCAAATTAAAAAACTGCCAAAGAGGGCCTAGCGAACCATTAAATCTAATATGCATTGGTCCGTACTCTCAGTCACCAGGACATGCGCCCAAGATGACAAATGAAGCACAAATGCAACATGATGGAACTATGGCACAAACCACTGAGAAAATGGTCAATAAATGCTCTGATCAAATGATCATCTCTGCCTATTCTTTATCCAAATCATACAGAACCCTAGTTAGGAGGCAATAAATCCTAGGTGAAAACGTTTCCTTAGGAAGGCATAGATTGAAGATCGATAGTTGATTTGATCCTAATGTTACTTCACAGCTTGATTCCAACAAACTTCCAAGCATCAATTATGATATAGTATAAGAACAGCTTATGGACAACTACTAACTGGTCAAACCAAATAAAATCAATGACCGAAGACAACTTCGCTCACCTCCCGATCCAGGGTGGGGTCGAGGCCGATGTTAACCCTAACCCCCTCCTCCTCATTCTGCTCCGCCGCCTTCCCCTCCCTCTCCCCGTCCTCGTCGTCGTCGTCGTCGTCGTCTAGGTCCCCCTCGAACTCCTCCTGCCTGGACCTGCGCCTCCGGCCGCGGAGGCACCCGTTGGCGTCGTAGAAGGCGGAGGCGCAGGGCGTGTCCCCGCGGGCGGCCTGCCCCGCCGCCTCCTCCTCCGCGTCGCGGGCCTCCGACGGCTTCGCCCAGCGGTGGCGCTCGACGTCGCCCGCGGCCACGGACCAGGAGGCCGTCGGGAAGGAGGAGTCCGGGACGGCGTCGAAGAGGCGGGACCCGAACAGGCGCTTCACCCGCGCCTCGAACGTCTCCTGGCCGCCGCCGCCCTCGGCCGCCATCGACGACGCGGCCTTCCGGAAAGGCGTCGAGGGCTCGGCTCCCGCTGTGGGTGCGTGGGTGGGTTGGGTTCGAGGTGGGGTCGGAGGAAGACGGAGGCGGCGATGGGGATTGCCTTGCCGGATTTGGGGAGTGAGCCCTAGCCGTGATCGGTTTCGGTTCTGGGCTTACAATGGAGTCGGTGCTGGAAGACTGGGCTGGGCTGTTGAGCCGCGCACGCAGTCCGGCCCGTTCGCAGACAGAAGACTGAATTGAAGAGGAAGAAAGAAAAAAGGTTTCCTCCTTGCTAGGTTCATGTACATACATTACATATTATTGATATACTACAATCCTATATGACAGATGATCACATGGATAAAACATATATTTGAAATCCCATAATATGTAACAAAAATTAAAATTAGTTCAATATCAAGCAAATTAACAATTTTGTTAGCGATTTTGAGTCGACTAGCATCCATATCAAGGGTGCTAACATCATGTGTCTAGTGTGAAGCTATCTAGACGTAAATAGGCGATTCACTTCCCTCAGGAATAATCTACTCCAACTCGTTGGGCTATCAGGACATTTGAATTTGCATTAAGTGCTATAACATTGGGGGTGATATATTTTCGATTTTCCATGGCAATAGAATTGTTATTCAAAGTGTTGTGCCAGTAATCCATTTCTATCTTTTTCTTATCTCTCTTTGCTGTGCTTCCTCAGGTCTAGTATTTTGCACCTTTCAACGTTCATTTGTAGCTTCAGTGTGCTCTTGAGTCTGAGTGTTGCATCACCAAGCATTTTGCATATTTTGACGTGCACATCTCGCTTAGGTGTTATACTTGCATGGCGCTCTTATATGAGGGTATTGCGACATTCATCTATAATCAGCCCGAAATAGCTTTATATGGGAAATGGAGACTGTCAAATCACTTGGTATTGTCCATTACATGTCATTTGCTTACCTTATTCAGAAATATTACAACATACATCCTCGTGATATAATATTGATGGCATATCTTTGTGGCCTACAAATGTTCACATTTTTCGATGGGAAATCATCTCAATGTTGGAGATAAAAAAACACCTTGATGTATAATTATTTATAGAAATAATTCAATGCACAAGGTTCACCAGGTCGAACTAAAGCTCTAAAAGAGCTACAAAAGTAAAAAAGAAACATAATGTTGCAGGCCCACAAGATTATGTAACTAATATATAGACTTCTAAATTGTAAACTTATATATAGTTAATTATTTTGAATTTCTTTATAATTAAATTAACACATGAAGCATTGGAGACATCTCAAGAAAATTTTCAGGCTCCTCAAACCTCTCAATCAAATAGTAATTGCTCAAGCAATGAGCTTAAGAGCAAAGAAAATTGCCAAGCTCCTTTCACCTCGCAATTGGGCAATATCCGAAGAGAAAATTCCTTATTTGACACTAGAAAAATAAGTCGTTCCTTTCTTGGCTCTGAATTTTTTTTCGTTCCCTATTTGACACTTACTTTAACTTTCATCCCTAATATGACACCGCAGTCAAATTTACTGGCTAACGGTGTTAAATGGCTGTTAAAAAGACATTTTTGCCCCTAGGCGCATGCAGACGCAGGGCCCTGGGCGCATGCATGCAGTGTATCTTGCCGCTGGCTGCTCTCTCTCTTTTTTTCTCAATTTTGCTAGACACGCCGCATGCAGGCTAGCCGCTGTTTTTTTTCTTCTCATTTTGCTGGTGGCCGGTGTGCAGACGCTGGGATGCCGTTTTTTCTCTTTTTTTTCAACATGATACAGCAACATGATTTGTAAGACGTTTATACAACATTTTTTTCAACATTTACACTGCATGATAATGACACATGATATAGCAAGTTCATATGAACAAAGAGGGTTAATTCTCTTGTGTTACAAATTAGTTTGCCAAAAGCTAAGTAAAATAAAGAATAAATAATGGGAGAAAAAAGGAGGTTAATTCTCCTATAATCAGTTTGCAGCTAACTGTGCCTTGATCTGTTTCTCCGGGGCAAAATTTCTCCGTTGTCTTCTGCCTCTCTCTTGCGGCTGTTGCTGTTATTGTTGCTGCTGCTGCTGCTGCTGTTTATGGGTTACTGCATTCGTTGTTGTTGCTTTTGAAAGGATCAAGATGTCCAAGAGGAGGTGAATTGGGCTAATTTTAAATTTCTTTGCAATAATTAAACTCTATGGTTAGCCCAATTAACCCCTTTGTGCCTAGAAAGTGTTTCTATTGATCTAACGCACAAAAGTTTAGCACCCTAAGTTTCAATTCTACTCTAGCATGGCAATTCTAGGAATGTAAATGACAAGAATTGAATTGCTTAAAGTAAATGCTCAAAGTAAAGAGAGAAGGAGGAACGCGGCGATGTTTTGTCGAGGTATCGGAGAGTCGCCACTCCCCACTAGTCCTCGTTGGAGCACTCGCGCAAGGGTATAGCTCCCCCTTGATCCGCACAAGGGTTAAGTGCTCTCTACGGGTTGATTCTTCGACACTCTATCACGGTGAATCACCCACAACCGCTCACAACTTGAGTTGGGTCATCCACAAACTCTCCAGATGATCACCAAGCTCCCAATCACCACCAAGCCGTCTAGGTGATGGCAATCACCAAAAGTAACAAGCACAGACTCTCACTTGACCACGACAAGCTTAATGAGAAGGGTGGATGCACACTTTGCTACTCTTGATCTCACTAATAAGCGCTCTCTTTTGGATTCTTAAATCTCAATCACCTTAGTAGGCCCTTGCTCTTCTTGACACTCTCTAAGGTGTTTCTCAGCTGTTGGAAAGAGCAAAAGTGCCCCCACACATGAGTGGAGGTGGTATTTATAACACCGGTTAAAAAACGAACCGTTATGTGCCTCTGAGGGGTGACCGGACGCTCCGGTCAGTATACCCCAAACTCCAGTGTTTAAAGTGTGACCGGACGCTGGACAACGTCCGGTCAGCACTGACCGGACACGTACGGTTGTGATTTTCCCTCTCTAGAACCTTACTGGAGTCGATCGGACGCTGGCTCTCAGCGTCCGGTCGCGCCAGACGATTTCACCTTGGTCAAATGAACTGACCGGACCCTGCACCAGCGTCCGGTCACACCGAAGCCAGCGTCCGATCAGTATTTGACCCTCCATTCACTTCCAACTCTCGATCATATGTGAATGAAGTTTGCTCCATTGGATCTAAGAACTATTTTGGAGCTACCTAGTGCTAGTTTTAGCAAGTGTGCACCACATCTAACCCACTAGACTCACATAGGTCAAGTTATCCGTCCATACCCCCCTTAATAGTACGACCAAAGGAAAAATAAAGTCCTAAACTACTCTAAGTGTCTCTTCAACATCAATTGACACTTAGAACTAGTCCATCCTTAACCTTGTTATCCATCATTTGAATACCGAAATGATTTCCATTGTAGGGGCATGACCACCATGATTGCCCAATCGATCTCCATTACCATGACCTAACTTAATTGCCTCTGCAAAACACACGTTAGTCATAGTAATCACGTATTGTCATTAATCATCGAAGCCCAACTAGGGACCTAGATGCTTTCAATCTCTCACTTTTTGGTGATTGATGACAATACCACCTCAAGTATGTGAAAGAGATGAGGTTTTTAACATGCTTGGTTCATATAAGCTTTTGGCAATAAGAACAAAAGTGTTAGGCAAGCTTATATGACCCAAGCCAACATAATGTACTCAAAAGATATGAAATAAGTATGAGTACAAGTGATAAAGCTCATTTGCATCGGAGTAAAACGCGGAAGCAAAGCAAATGAGCATAGCACAAGTGATATGACATATAAATAATTCAAAGTAGGGAGCACACATGTCATATATCATGATCACGTAGATATCACTATCACATAAATATAGTTCGATGCATAAAAGTAAACACACGATGAATGCATAATAGTGTATCACACATAAAAACTCCAAATGTAATAGATAAGCTAATAGATAAACTAAGCTCCCCCTAGATATGTCGCTCCCCCTAAGACTAACATACTCGAACCCTCTCCCCCTTTGGCGTCAAACACCAAAACTTAAGGGTCGGTCGGCGGGGCTGCAGCAGACGAGCCGGGCGCTGAGGTACGAGGAGCGAGCTGGAACTGAGTGCCATCATCATCTGACCCTGAGCTCTGAGCAGTCTGACCCTCTGTAGCTGGAAGTGATGCTAAAGCAGTCTGGGTCATATCAGGGACTGGAGCTGCTATAGGCTGTGCTGGTATGACTGAAGTAGCCGGCTCTGATGATGCCACTGAGGAAGGGAGCGTCTCTATAGTCCCGATAATAGGTGCAACTGTAGAAGGACCTAAGACATGTAGATATGGTGGAGTAGGCTGCCCTGTCAACTCACTAAAGGAAGCACCAAGGCTCCTAGACACTGTAGTCTCTGGCACTAGCAGCGAGGAAGTCTCAGCCGGTGTGAAGCCCGTCTGAAAAGGTGTGAACTGTGGGGCTAGCACTGGCGAAGTGAACCACTGGGACACCTGCTCTGTAGGTGAAGCAAACTATGCTGGTGGCTATCCCTGACTCTGAAGCCCACTTGGCTGTAACGCTGGAGTCATAGAAGTGGTGGCAGTCTGACCAAGCTGAGGCGAAAACTATGGCGGTAGAGCCCCAATAGCTGTCACAACATGCTGCATAAATCCAAGTAGCTGCTGTTGCATGAGGATCGGCTGCTGATGCATGGCCTGCTACTGCTGTAGAGCCTGCGTCTGCTGCTGTATAGCCAGCTGCTATCGCTGGAACTCGTCCTGCCGAGTCTGGAACTGTGCAAAAGTGGCAGCGGTCTCCTGAGCCTGACGAACCTAATCCTGCCTCATCCGCTCAGGATAACAAGTAGAGCGGGGTCTGTCTACGGTGCAGGTGGAGCTGAACTAGAGCTGTCGGCCTCATGATCATGTCGATGTGCAGGCATCTAAGGAATGTCCCGGTAGTCCTCGTCTAAGCTATCACTGGGGTCGCTCTCGACCATCCCCTCCTGCTGAGCAAGCTCC